CTATTTCCCTTATATTACCAACATTCTTCTTTGCTTTCTTCTAAACATGGTGTTATAGCAATAGCGCGCCAAAGCAGATCTTTCCATCAGAAAAAGGGAAAGAAAGACCAGCTATATGAGACAGAACAGACAAGAAAAGTGGCAGATTCCGTATAGGAAGACAAAAGCTGACAATTTGTATGGACAAGATCAGCAGGAAAATCCGCATTTCTGGTAAGTTTTGATTATCTTAACATAAATTTGACTTATGATGGAAAATCCATTTAAATTTGAGGTTCAGAAAAGAAATAAATCATATATTAGGTCAGATAAAGACAAGAGTTAAGTACACGATGGTGATAGCAGTTTAAACAGTTGCGAAGAAAATTAAAGTAGGAAGAACAAAAACAAGAGTAGGGCGCAAAACAAGAACAGATCACACATAAGAAAAACTTTGGTCTAAACCAAGTTTTCAGGAGTTTATCAATGCTCTGGACATAATTCCAACTGACAACTACAATTTAACCAAACATTAAAACAAAAATCTAAAATAGAAAGCTGGGGATAGGAAACCTAAAGAAAATGTGAATTCAGATCTCACCTTTCCCCGCCTCAATAGAGTTGGCACATACTTTACCGCCTAGTTTTGAGAACTTATCAACCAAAGGACTGCCTGCCTGTTGATACAACATATCAAACCACATACCATAAAGGAGAATACCAATCTTAAGCAGATTTCAGTAGAAAAAAAAAGCACACGAGTGTAGACAGAACATAGGTGTCCATTTTCCTTCAGATTTAATATAGATACTTTATATGTCACATGATGAAGAGCCACTACAAAATCATCCTAGCCCCAACTTTAGAGATCAAAGAAAGAAAGTTCCATGTCCTTTTTTATAAGTAAAAAGAAAATTTAACATCTAGACATTCTATAATTCTGTGACAAAACAAATTATCTACAGTTCTGGCAGGGAACTAAACCACTTTTCAAATACACTGATAGTAACTGGAGAAGAATTCAAAGCAATTCTTTACTTACACCGGCCACTATCAGGTATTGAAAACTGAAAATGCTTTTCTTAAAACATTTTTTCTTACATCAGAACTAGCTATTTCTTTCTGAGATTACATTAAAATAATGGGGGGGTTTCCTAGGGTCAAAAATCTTTGGTTAGTTTTCTCTCTAGACGAAAACAATAGATGAAGCACAGAAATGCAGCAAGTATTTAACAACTCAAACGTAAAACTATATAATTTCAAACATTTTTTGAGCGACCATTTCTCCCTGGATGGAAGAGAAAGGCGAAGCATATCAAATTGAAAGACAAACTGAATAAGACAATCTTATGCAATGTACTTGTAATGTCTATATAATGTAAGCAGGAAACATATCCTTTTCTTGTCTGACAGTTGAGTTACTGTTAAATTTAAGCATTGAAATTTTATAAATTCTCAAATTTGTAATATCCACTTTAACTCTGTTTGATATGTTTCCTTAAACTACATTGTTCAAAATCTGCTTCTTGTGCAAGAATGCTTCTCTCTTATATGTCATATATTACAGGCTAATGGCTGCAGGGGCAGTCCACATAGTCACAAACGGTAAGCACATAAGCACAGCCGAAATCGTTTTTTTNACATCAAATAAACCTCCTATGCAAAATTGCTATTAGAAACCTGAAGGCACTGCATAATGTACATGCATCCCCCTCCTCCTTCCTCCCTCCCCCCAGAAAAAGAAAAAAAATGAAATCATTCAAACCGTTAAACTAAATACCGTATTTAAAATTCTAAAATTTTAATTTAAGATATTGATAAATCATTGCCTGAATATTCAATAATGATCTTGATGAAATACATTAACCTCAGCATTATCCCTTTCTTAAACTTCAAGCTTGACTCTCATTTACTTGGATTTCTATACTTCTTGACTTCCAACTTTTCTTATCTTTTTACTCATACCAGTTCTTGTACATCATCTGTACTATTACAATTTCTCCCTAAGTCAAAAAAGTCCAATATACTTTATCCAACCCTCATTACTAGATATATCCAAAATCAAGAAAGTGGAATCAGAAGAAACCCCTTTTTTTTAAAAAAAAAAAAAAAATCAGAAGTAAACATGATCAAGAAACATGACAAGATGACAACATGATCAAGAAACTATAGGAATCATAGTAATTGAAAAGAACAGGAATTTCGTTTTTTGAATTATAATTTTTCTACTGAGTAACAAAAGAAATGGTAACAAACCTCGAATGCCTGGACAGAGTAACCAGAACGAAGAAGAGAAGTAGCTAATTCCAAGCTGATATCGTCCAGGCCGACGAACCCAATTACACTATGCGTAGCCATTACTGAAGCAGAGAAACAGAGTAAACTGCGAAACCTATGATGTTTTTGCGAGTAACACCTAAAAAATATAGAGTTTTTGGGTGGAATGCGTTTGGGTTGGTATACTTATATAAAGAAGGTGATGGCTTGTGTCAGGGTCTAATTTAGAAACAATAAATACGCGGATGTCCTGGCCCCGTTCGGAGAAGAAATACTAATACTAATATTTTAAACCAACGTTAATTTAAATAGTCACAGTACTATGCACAATTAAATCAACTATTTGCACTCCTTTTAGCAATTTCTATACTTAAAAAGTTATTGTTGGATCAGTTTACTTGCTATCTTCGGACTAAAGAGAGAATATCACCAATAAATTTTATTTACTAAGGTTTATACATATAGAAAATATCACTTAGTGTTATCGCATATTTCTATTCACTAAGACTTGAATAGATGGGAGAAAATGACCTAGTGCTATCGAATAATTATGTATACCAATGCGTGAATAAATAGGAGGAAATCACCTAGTATTATCGGGTAAGTTTATCCACCAAAATTTAGACAGATGAAGAAAATCACTTAATGTAATTGGTCAAGTCTATTTATGGCTTTGGACAGGGAAAAAAATCAGCTAGTATTTTTGCCCGCTAGGATTTAAATCTGAAACTTCATGATTTTCAATATTGGCATTAGGCTACACCCTTGGCTGCCTAATATTTATGTAGATATATAGCATCATCTAATTTTTTACGCATTTACAAAATTTCAATTTTAAGTTTTATAATCTTTTCCAATTTCATTAATCATAATCACATATTTTGGTGCTTTCTTTTCTGCATTCCTTTTTCTTTTTACCTTTTTTTTTCTGACATCGCCAGGCATGAAACATTTAATTCAAGGTGATGCAAAGTGTAACCAAGTAGTAGTAGTATACTAGTATTATCTTGACATGGTCCAATTCCCAAATTATAATTTCTATCTGTCAGTTATTTTATTTTATTTTATTTTCCTTTGTGTTTGTTTGTCTGACTTGACTTCAGACGAGCCTAGAGGACAATTTATTGGTAGATTTTAACTCATGCTTGATGGTTCCTCTTTCCCTTTCTCTTTTTTGAGCCAAGAAGTTTCTTTCATTTGGCCTAATCTTCATAAAAAGAAAAAAGTGACAACCACGTTTCTTACTTTTGAGTGGATTAATAGCTCGTTTGGCGCGAAAATCAGCTTATTTTAAGAAGTATTTTTTTTCAAAAGTGTTTTTCTCAAAAGTATTTTTGTGAGAAGCAATTTGTGTTTGGCTAATTAGTTTGAAAAGTACTTCTGAGCAGTAATTAGTGTTTGGCCAAACTTTAAAAAACTGATTCTAAGTGTATTTTTCTCAAAAGTATTTTTGGAGAGAAGCTATTTTTTTTTCTGCTTCTCAAAAATGCTTCTGCTTCTCTCAAAAGCACTTTTTTTCTTCCCAAAACTTTGTCAAACACTTCAAAGTCAAAAGCACTTATGGCCAAACAACAGGCTATAAGTGGGGAAATTTGGAGCACCAAAACGGCTCAGTGTAGTGGGTCCCTGCTAAATCATGGCAAGGTGGCAATGACGTGGACAACGACAATTCTATTAAGTGCTCAAGGAACATGTCCGTGTCACGCACGCATAAGATTATTTATATCCCCACGAAACCACTGTGTCGGATTTGACCTTCTTGAGCATTAGTTTAATTATTATGGAATAATTAAACGTGACTTGTAATTTCTTAAAGTCGAGATCTATTAAATTTAAAATTGAACTTTGCCTTTGAGATAAAAATATATGATTATAATAAGATCCTAAAAGCGCCCTCTATGTCTATGGAAGTAAGCACGGTTTCTACTTTGGATAAGTGCATACTGTTCAATAGCACTGCAACTATTGACTGGGCCCGAATTGATTCCTTCTAAAATTATATTGGAGCTTTTTTTTTTTTAGCAAAATGCAAAACCAAATCAACTTTTTTACTTTGTGTACAACTTATATAAATACATGATATATATTTTAATAAGCATAATCGTGAATAAATTATACTAATAATTAATTAATTAATATTTTTACTTTAATTTACTACTTAATTATTGATAAATTAATATAATTTAATATAAATATAATAAGCGGTACAGTTAAATCATAAATAAGGTGTAGAAAGTGATTGGTCCCCCCTAGCGTAGATGGTTGGGACGGGGTGGTGCCATAATGAATCAAAGGCATGAAAATTTCACCTTTTCATTTGGATGCGCTTTTGACTCTACACTATTTTGTCCTAAGTGAGTAATAGTATTTGAGATGAGAGGCTTATAATCTAGTACATATCTAAACCTGACAAAAGAAAGTTCTGATAACAAAATTCGAATAAGTTAATCTGCACAATGTTGTCCTAATTACTCAATCAAGTTCAGTTTAAAGCATTTGAAATATGTGCAATTTATAACTAATATATTCTACCTACTTAACAACAAAAATGTTTACATACATAAGTTCTTTTCCTTTTCACAAAATTGAGGGGCACGTTGTATAAATCTAAGATCGCATCTCATTATTAATAGCTGTCAAAGAGGGTTATGCTAGTCAAAGACCACTGAATGAAAGACTCTAGGAGCTATATATAGAAGGGGGGACTTTTCTCTCTACTCTATCTCCGCCAATTTCTACTTTTATGTAAGCTCACTTTTCCTCTAATGTGGAATAAGATCATGACATCAATAAATATGAGATGCTCCTACCTTTCATTTTTTCTGATTATATGCTTGTAGATCTGAAGTTGATTATGTTAGGCTAAGATTTACCTTCTTTATTATCGATAATTGAGGTTGGCAAAATAGTCTCAAACTTTTTTGTTCAAACATTACATATTCTGAGATGTTTGGATGTTTCAAAACTCCATGGACATGCAGAAGAGAAATGCTATCCCCACTCGGACCAAGACAAAACTTTTACTTGTTCAAATAACAATTAAGGTGAAGCAGGGTCAAGAACGACGAATCTCCCGTTTCTTCAAAACTCTTCTTTCAAAGTCTTTTAAGAAAGTCGAAGGTAAAGTTGAAATAAAAGTTTTTTTCAAATATAGAGTAAAAGCAAACACGTGTGTTTATATTATACTCAATATATTATATCAAATGAACCAAATATCTACAATAAACAATTACGCTATTGTTTAATGTCGTATTGTAATTTTGGCATTAAATTCTGGTATACTTTGTTTGTGAACCAAGTGATCCTTAAAATTTCTATTATATAGAAAAGGGAAGTTTGGTCGACCAAGGGTAAATTTGATATTTTGCTTATTCATAAAAAAGTTTTCCGATACTAATTAGAAGGTTTTCTATTCCTTCATCTTCTTCAATTTTTTTAAAGATTTTTTCCTAATTTTTGCTTATTTTTCCATGTACTGCTAAATTTAAGAAAAACGATTTACAATTTTGGATTTGTTGTGTCAGATTTTTGGGCTTTTTTGCTCCTGCTTGTAGTAGTCCAATTGGATACAGATTAGCCAAAAGCAAGCAGGTGATAGACATACCTGCTTGAGGACCAGAGGAGGTAGATTACTGTTGTGGTTCTTAAGGTTTGTTCTTATGCAAAGAACTTTTTATGCGGTTTGTTATAGATTCTCTTGAAACTGAGTCTGCAAATGGTATTGAAAGTTCAAGATAGGTAATTGCACTTTTTCCTTTGAGTTCCTGAATATGCTAAGCCGATATTAGATTTTTGCAATATGTGAGTTTGTATAATCTATAGCACTTCATTCCTCTATTGTGCTCACACACAGAGAGGCAAAGAGGAACATAGGAGAGGAGGTGTCTCGAATACTAACATGTAGTCCATTATCTATCGTTTTAGGTAATTTTCTCTAATTCAAGGCAACTGGTTTAGGAATTAGGATATCGATTTTCGTAGTATGATCAAATTATGGAGAATCTTTGCTCTCTGCTACGTGTATTTATGATATTAATCATGATGAATTCAAAGTTCAAACACTTACCAGGAAAAATATTTGTAGGTTGCTCTGCTTGTTTAGTTAGACGGGAATTTATCATTTTCCTCATTTGATTCTTAATTTGAAAAGTCCATTACTATATTTATGCCTTCGTTCGTGAATGAATTTTTCCCTCAATGAAATAAGAGCTTGGCTACCCCTAAATTTGCAATAGCAATGTCTGAATTTCAAAAGTGAATGCAATTACTACTTTGATTTCTTCATAAATTTCTATGTTGTTTCTTTTGGAAGAACTTCGATATGGATGACTACTAATTGATTGGTTAGCCTAAAATTTGTAGTATCGTGTGTAATAATTTATACTATTAATTGATTATTCTTCTGCATGTGAACTATTAGTGTTAAATCCATCTATCACAGTAACTTTTGTTTATTGACTATAATATTTGAGTATCTAAATCTAAGGTAGAAAACTATTCCTTTACCTTTGTGTAGGCAGTTCACCTAATACCAGGAAGAAACTTATAAGATACATCAATTCGTGCTTGTATGAATTTTTTCTAATGTATGCATAAAGGAATAATGAAGATGAATGTAATTATTGTAAGTCTTCTACGCGTAGTTCTATATTTAAAGCTACATATTTCAAATCTTAGTCCAATTTTTGTCTCACTATTTTACTTTATTGAATACATAAATAGTTTTTTTTTAATAATAATTTTTGAACTTGGTCTTTCTTTGCAGATGGTATTTCCTGTGATAATGTTGGAACCCTAAAGGATATATATTGTTTATGTGAAAAGGTAAAGAAATGAACTTTAATACCTGGTCAGCTAAAAAAAAGTTCTTACAATGCTCTTGTTGATAAAAGTAATGTGATACTCTTTAGTTTTTTAGCTGAAGCTGCCTTTGACTAACAATTCTGTTCTATTTGGCAAAACATGTGCTTGGCAACTAGGTGATTTGAAATTTAATGCGAACATAAATCTAAGTTCAGCTTTCTAATTGTGGACTTCTTAACTCTAATCATCAAATTATTATAGAGTAGTAGTAGTAGTACCATTGTCTAGGCAAGAAATAAACTATGATGTGTTACACATCAATATCAGATTTACAGTGATTTAAAAAATTTTACATGTGAATAAAAGGTTGTGAAATTTGAGAAATCTTATGAGTGCATTGAATTACGAGAATACGCCATAAGAGGTTAACTTACGAGAAATTTTGGAACTTTTGCAATGCATTGTCCAATATAGAAGCTTATATCATACACCAGATATAAGACAATGGGCAAGAAAGGGTCATAAATTATATGCAACTTCATTGAAGAGGATGTTAGGAAGACATGAAAATATTGAAGGTAAATACTGTGTATATAATTGATTGTTGCTACTTGTGTTGATACAGTACCTGAAATCTATTCTGCTCTGGGATCTGATAAAGAGTAATGGGGATGTTTGGCATAAGTTTTTAATTCATTTTGGGACTTGAAATTGGTGATCTTCTCGCACTTTTTTTGTTGCTACAGTATCATTCGTATTCTATTTTGTTTTGCATATATGTGGTAAAGCACCTAAAATATTTGATTTTCTTTTCTAGCCTGGTTTTGCAAGAGCGAAAATTTGGTGCAGCTTACCACAGTTTGAAGCCTCTAATAGAATTCATTACATTTAAATTTGCATACATTGTTGGACCTTTTTTTAAAACTTTGTTTTCATACTCCTTTATTTTTAATTATTATGGACAAAAATATGTGAAATCACCTATCAAATTCACTAATAAATTAAGTATAGGTATTGAATTAGTTCAAAGTGCCCATGAACATTATGTAATCCTTCTGAATTTATCTGCTAAGAGGATTAAAAAATATATATATTACAAATAGGATGAAAAATATTTGTAGGAAGTGTTTGTCTTTTGGTCGAGAGAACGATAGATTCAGGGTGCAAAGGGCATTTATGAAGCGTTGCCTTTTTGGTTAGAAGCTTGGGCTTTTACGTTTTTTTATAAGTAGAAATTAATGATTAGATTTTGAAGAAGGTTATCTTGATAATTTAACTTTTAAATTTTGGGTTTCATGTTGTAATTAGATTTTTTAGAAGGGTAAAAAAGTAATTTAACATTTGACTTAAGGGCTTCCCACTTTTAACGTTTGTTGTTTTTAAAAAGTCAAATTTTTAAGAAAAGGGCAATTTTGTAGTAATTTATTAAGTGAAGGGTAAAATAGTAATATGACTTTTCATTAAAGGGTTTCATGTTTTTGATATATTGTGTAGATAGTTATACCAAAGCATATAATATTATCTAGTACAATTCCTTGTTGTTACACAATGATTTGAATAATTAAAATACATAATTCAGTATGAATTAGAAGTCTATTCCACAAATTACTATATACTGATAATCCACCATGAAATAACAAGTAAAATCACTAACACATGATAATATTTCCCAACAAATCATCTCTGCTTCTATCACACAATGCCTCCATATTAGTAGAAGACCTGCCTTGCATTTCTAAAGGAATATTAGAAAACCCATTTCCTTCCTCAATCTTTGCAGTAATGTCTTCATTAGCATAATATTTGAATTCTTTATCGGTAGAAGAATATCGTCAGATGAAATTATGTATAGCCATGGTAGTTGTAACTAGATGATTCTGAATGTCAAACTTGAAATATGGCATTGAGCGTAAAATAAAAATTATTTAAAAAGTAACTAATTATTAATAACACACAATATATAATTTAATTTTCTTAAATTTAAATTAGAAACTAATTATTACCTAACCTAACCAACTTTGTCGTAAATTGCCAAGTGACTTAATGCGAGACTACCACTGGGCTTAATGTGGAAGTTTTTTCTTTGTCTTTTAATAATATATGATAGATTATGCGATGAAATTGTAAATTTATTACCTATTTGTAGGTAATTTTTACAAATTAGATTTGAAAACTGTTTTAAAGATTCGAGACCTAATAGCCTATAACAGATGAAATTATAAATAATTATTTATAGGAAGAGAACTAAAATTATAAATAATTATTTGGAAAGTTACAATATGATTCATGTATATGATATCTTTAGATTTAAGAAAATGATAAAAACCAGAAACAAATATATATATATATATATATAAAGTAACCCCTCTGTTTCAAATTAGATGAGGTACTTTCCTTTTTAGTCTGTTCCAAAATAAATGACACATTTCTAAATTCTGAAATAATTCAACTTTAAACTCCTCATTTTACTCATGTTACCCTTAATGAGAAGCTTTTATAACCACAAAAATGTATTGGCCCCACAAAACTTTTACCCCTTAAGCTTTTAAGACCACAAGTTTCAAAAGTCTTCTTTTTTCCCTTAAACTCCATGCCGAGTCAAACTACCTCATCTAAATTGAAACGGAGGGAGTAAGGGATAATTTGAAAAGTATAAATTTTAAGGTGGAGATAGTTTTGTCTTGAATAAATTAATTTTTTGCAGTTTTATCTTGAATAAATTAATTTTTTGCTTTTGCTTCTGCTTCTTGTAAGAAGCTAGAATTTTTGCTTCTTCCCAAAAGTAGAAAAACTACTTCTGCTGCTGGCCAAAAATACTTCTTTATTTTTTATTTTAAGAAAAGCATTTGCATTCATCATAACTAAAGAAGCTTAATGGATTTAAGTACGTTAAGTTTCTATATATTATAAAAATCTTGTAGTTCCACTACTTTAATATTATATTTAGAATTAATGTTAGATTACTATTGAAGTCTATGAATATTACAATCCTTACATAACCAATCGCTTACATCAATTTTTTTCCGTCACATTACACTTAACTCGTCTCCACAATGTAGCTTGGCAATCAAGCTTTTCAATTTGCAAAGCAGAAATAACAAAAGAACGTAGATAATCCAAACCTTTTCATTTTAAGTATTGCAACCATTCTAGACAAACAAAAAAATGAGATGTAAAATGGAAATTAAAAAATAGCCAAATTTACAAGTGGTCATTCAAAAACAGCCACCGTTTCAAAAGTAATAGAAATTTAATCATTTTTCATGTAAAGATAAATTTGAACGAAAATACTGTTCAAAATCCAGAAAAATACTCCAGTATAATAAACCGGAATTCCAGTTTATTATACTGAAACTTTCCGCGTGATGGAGTTCCAGCATAATATGCTGGAAGTTCATACACAGGTGCACCGATCTCCAAGATATTATGCTGGAACTTTCCGTGTTGCGGTAAAATAGTGGCTATTTTTCAATGACTTTGTAAACGCTAGCTATTTTTGAATGACCAATTCGAAAACTGGCTAGTCCGTGCTGTTTAGTGACTATTTCTGAGCCCACTCAAATAGTATACTACTGTATACAATATATTGTAGGAGTATATAGTTATACTGTAACAATATACTATTATAGTATACAATATACTGCAACGGTATACTATAATAATCGAAGAAGAACACAGTTACCTAACAATATACTATTACGGTATACAATATACTGTAGGAGTATATAGCTATAATGCAATTGTATACTATTATAGTATACAATATACTGCAACGGTATACTATAATAATCGAAGAAGAACACAGTTACCTAACAATATACTATTACGGTATACAATATACTGTAGGAGTATATAGCTATAATGCAATTGTATACTATTATAGTATATAATATATTGTAACGGTATATTGTAATAATGTGCAATATACTGCAACATTATGGTATAATAGTATACGATATACCATAATAGCATACTATTTTAAATGTAATAATGTAATGTTGAATGAAGAACATAAATATTATTTTCATATATTGTATGCTATTTTGGTATATAATATATAATTCAATACTTAGTATATAGTTTATTACAATAATATATTATTATAATATACAATATGATGTTATAATTTATTACATGGCAATCACGAGTTGATTCTTAGAATCTGATTATGTAATTTATGGTGCTCAGCAACAATCAGTATGATATTCAGTGAATTAGATCAAGTGACAACTAATATTATTTTAATTTAAAAATTGAATTTAAAAAATGAGAAAAAAAGAAAGATAAAAGGTATATTATACTTGTTATATTAAAAAAGAGGTGAACCGAAATTAGATTATGAAGAGAAAAGAATATTAAAAAAAAGAAGTTAAATGAAATTAGAAAAGAAAAAAATAAAAAAATAAGAAGAAATCGAGAAAAAAGAAAAGGAGAAAAGAAAGAAAAAAGGAAAAAAACATATAAATAAAAAAGAATTGGAGAAAGAAGAGAAAATTTCCCATAAAAATTACTATGGGTAGAAAATACAATTAGTTTGTGGATAGAAAAATAAATGAATAGACAAAGATAAATAGTTTTGTTTTTATGGGTAACTGTGTTATTTTACCATTTAAGAAGTCAATTGCTGAAAGGGTTCACGAAGAACGAGAGGTGGTTGTGGGAGATCTGATTTTACTGGGCTATTCTCATATAATCCAACCAAACTTGGGCTGTTGTCATACAGTCCAGCCTAATATGGAGGAGTCTGATTGTGTTGGGCTGACATATTATATAGTCCAGTAAATTATGATATACGTAAATTTTTTTGGAAAAATGGCATTATATAGTCGTTCTCAAAATAATAACCGATATATATATATATACACACACACTCCTTCCATTTCAATTTATGTGTAATATTTGATTGGACACGGAGTTTAAGAAATAAGAGAAGAATTTTGAACTTGTGGGTATAAAATGAGACACATATATTTTGTGTAACTATAAATCATTGCATAAAAATTATTATTTTTAATTATGAAAAGGGGTCATCCTTTTTGATACGGACTAAAAAGAAATAATTGCATAAATTGAAACTGAGTGAGTATGTTTCTTATTTTAGTAGTATAATAATTCCTTAACTAAAAATATAGTTCTAAACAATCAGTATGATATTCAAGTTGATGACTTCGTTTGTAAAGAGCATTATTATATTGGACAATTATATTTTTATAGATTTAATCTTAAAGCATGATTAGGTACGATCGACTTTCATATACTCCATCTTATTAAGATAATAAACTTATTACATGGTGTAGAGAAGGTTTAAGTCTCCAATTTATTAGAAACACAATGGATGCACATAACCATAATTATTCCTCGAGGAAAGTTAATTGATTTTAATTTGCTCACTGTTGACTTTACCCTTTTAATCATTTTCTACAGTTCAATGTATTTGTTCCGGAAGTCAGCTAGCAAACCATAATTTCTTTTGATTTTTGGCATATACAGCTTTTGATATTTTTTTCCTTTTTCTTTGATTGTGTTTTTATTTTAGGGGTGAGATAGAGGAAACGAGGGAATAAAAAATATAAGGAAGAAGAGCAGACATGAAAGTTATAATTTTTACCCTCTAAAAATAAATTTCACATTGGACATAGTTGTAATTTAACTTACTTTCCTAATAATTAGGGTATTTGAATCACCTAAAATTTAAATATTTCCTTATTGAACTAAATAAGAAGTCCTAATTATTACCGTGAGTTTAAAACTTGACTTTCTTACATAGCATATATAAATTAATAAGAAAACGTGAGTTTCTTAAACTTAATAGAATACTTTTTCTTTATGAAATAATATTTACATACAATAAAGGACTAAAATTTAAAACTAATGCTTTTTCTTTTCATTTCAAACTTGATCTTTATCACACATAAAAATATATTCTAAAGTTCCTCAATTTTATGTTAAATATTATAAGAATCATTTCATATAATAGTTATTTAATTAATTTTTTTTTTAATTTTAGA